TCCAAAATCAATGAATGTTAGCTCATTGGATTCGTCTAGTCGCGAGGAATCGAATGGTAGTTGTTTCATACGAATCGTAGCGATATTGACAGAGATCGTACATCTTTTGTTTTTTGTTTTTTCTATATATAAAAAATCATGTGATATAATGTAATTTCAACCATTTAGACTTTTCATTTCGATTTTGACCTCCAAAGTCGAAACATTTCGACTTTTGGGTTTTCATTTCAACTTCATGTATAGTGATAGTAGCTACTACTAATAAGGTGTAAGTTCGCTTTGTCTAGATTTATGCCTCCTGATAACAGGTAAAAATTATAGATAATGCCACCTATTGTGAATCAATTGAGTTTAGAACTAATAGTGGAAGCTGAACAAGTATCACATCATTTGCAAAAGGTATCTGTAAAAGTATATTCAATTGTAACATATATTCTATAATACTCAAAAAGTAGATAGTCATCAGTTATAGATGATTGGTATTGTATAAGTCTCCTTTCATTATGATGCTAGGGTATACTAAGGTTTGAGACTAGATTTCATTTTCAGATTGTTTAACGGTATAGTAAACTTATCTAGTCTGCTAATCTCAGAAATTAGAACTTATTTGACAGTTGTATTGTCTGAATAACTAATCATGTTAAGAATACAGAGAGTACAAGCATAGGCTATTATCTAATTATAGTCTTATCTTCAGATAAATATGAAATTAAATAGTTATTGGTCAATACCTTCTAACTTTAAATGGAGTAAAGAGATATATATTAGATATGTGAAACTCTCAAGTTGTATCAGTCATGTCTTAAGATGTATAAACCTTTTCTTGAAGTCTCTTGAACCAATAAGTATTAGATGTGAAAACCAAAAAAAAAATATAAGCATACATTTTAAATATGTTTAACTATATGATTATATGAAAGTATAATTGTATAAGAATTTTATAAGAAAGAAAATTCTAAAAAATTTTTTTTAATAAAATTTTAATTTTTTGTAATTCTTTTTTATTCTAAAACATTCATATATGAAATTATAACAAAAATATTTATAATTTACTACAATTGACTATTGTTAATGTTAATCAAAATTCAATATTAAATTAAATAAATAGATATTTTTGTAATTTCTTATTTTTCTCTTTTATGTATATAAAAATACAAAATAATTTAAATTACATGTAAATATTAATAATTATACTTTAAATAATTATTTTAAAATAAATGATAAGTAATTCCTTATATATACTGGAAATATTTTTATTTGCTAAACGATCTTGGAATTTCTATTAAAAAATTGAATTTGTATTAAATACTAATAGATTTTTAATTATAAAATTATGTATTTTAACATAATCAATAGTAATTTTGAAAAAATCGATTTGATAACAAATCTTATAATGTCTAGATATACAATATAAGATTTAATGAAAAATCAAAAGTGGGGTTAATATCGGAGTTTACGGGAAAATTTATCTTTTTATATGTATATATATGGAAAGCCATTTTATAGAAAATATATCAAAATTTTCGTTTGTGGGATAATGTGCGAACCTTTCGGTAATTTCTATAGGCAATTTCAATAAGTTACACATTTATTACATTTATTAATCTCAAATCAGTAGAAAGTCGGAGAACATATATTTATTAAAATCGTAGCTCGGTCAATAATGACAAATCCTTTCAGAAACTGATTCACATATTTTATAAAGCAAACATTCTAAAGTTTTATGGCTATATAAGCATTGCAAAAAAAAAACTGATTTATTCTTAATAGGATAGACACAATTTTTGTTTATTTGTAATATTTTTTATTTTTACCTTTTTTGTTGGCGTAGGTCTATTTTTGCCGTTGCATTTTTAGGTTTCGACAAAATTTGCTTTATATTTGAGCATTTATCGTTTTGGCGTCAAAGGTATAAGTTAGGGTTAACCTTTTGAAATGACACGCATTATAGCAATATTTTCTCTATAATGACTTGGTTTTATGTGCTAATGATTAGTTAAACATACACATCAAACGTAAACATAAAGTAGTGAATAAGAAATAGAATTTCCGAGGCCACAAGGTAATTTCAGATTATATCATGTGCCTGTAATTTCCTTACAGAATTAAAATGTTTAAAATTAAACAGAATGGGTCGTAAAGATTTCGTTCAAGACGTCAAAATTCTTAAAGAACATTTTCGTGGCTTGAACTCAAAAAGTGCTTCATTGGTTCAAGGTAAAACGGCAAATGTTAATTTATATAGTATTATTCGCGTCACTTAATTTAATAAAAATTTATGCCAATAATTTGTTTATTTTTATTTTACAGGTTTTGATTTTCAAGATCCAGAGTTAAGCTTCAGATTTGGATACAAGATTGGAAAATCAATCACTGTTCAGATTTTTGTGAACGGTAAGGTGACCAAACTTCAAGTATACACATAAATTTCACTGCCACTTCCTCACAGGATCTACTTAAAATTTAAGTTGTGGTTTATGTTTCCGGTAATTTTGCATTCGGAGGCCATATTGATTAAACCATGCGGGTTTTTCTTTATTGGCTTTCCAAGACTCGTCATTACAGTCGTACCCTACCAAATTTAGCGCGTTTGTCTGTGTAGACGCTGCGAATGAAGAAGAAGCGAATATTGGTAAATAAAATTTTATTTCGCTTATTATTATATTATTATAATTTATTATTTTATACTGATCATTTGCATATTTTCTGAAATAGCGGCGAAATGCTTGTCAAATGTCAACATTGAAAATAAAACCGTTAGCGAAATTGTTGCTACAATTATACCAAAACTATGCGACTATTTCCGAATCGCGCTTCCCAAGGATCTTTCAATGAACGCTTTAAGTAGATTTAGCCGTGTATCTTCTTCGACTTCTTCATCCTCTTCTAGTCAGGGAAAAGTTCAGTCTAAGACTTCAGTACCAGTCGTTCAAACGCCTGTCATGCTGCTTAATAAAGATTTGGCTGAATTGAAACATTTCCGGTATAATATCCTTTTTTTTAAAAAAAAACAATTAATATATATTTTTATATATAGATAATTCAAATATTTTTACTGGAACTTTAAATTCTTTTGCGATTTCAATACAATATTTAGGTATAATGCTGAACTACTTTGCGCAGATGAAATTGGTTTTAAAATAGTTGTTTCAATGCCTGTAATCCGCCTCGGTCTTAGTTTAGAAGCCTGTGAAGCTTGGAATTTGGATCCTGAACGGTAACGAACTCCATTGTCTTTTCATTTGTTATTAAATCTAATTATGAATTAACTTTATACTTCTTATAATTGCAGTTTTTTGGTATGCATTATGCAATTTTCACCTAGTTATATTGATTTACAGGGTGTAATTTCTAATGCCCTTCAAACAAAAGCTTATCTTATTAAAGAAGGGGGAAGTTATCAGGATATTAAAGATTCATTAAAAAAACAGTTCCCCATAACATTTACAGTATTAACATCATCATTATCAAAGGGCATGCCAAGTCAGTCACATCACAAAGATGATACATTGGAAAGTGACCATTTTGTCCTTTCTTGGACTTTAACCGAATTATTACGACAAAAATTCTTTGATATGTTATGTGATCGCATGTGGTTTGGGATAGGTTGGTCAGGTGCAGAATATGCGGATTTAAAAAGGAATAAAGAGCTGAAATCGGATTTCCTTAATTCCGAACGGTCGTTATTTAATGGTCAGGTTGATGAATGCCTTTCACAAGATGAAGAGCAACATGGAGTCTTATGCTACCTTGAATCAGAGGAGATGGAAGTTTCAACAGCTTCGGCAAATAGGAATTTTCTTTTATTGGTTTTAAGATTTTTGCGACGGAGGATATTACTTTCGACCAAATATTGTCTAACTTGTCATTACCCTCATACAGAATCAGTTTCATCTATCAGACCTTTTGTTTGTGGTTCGGCTTTGTGTCAGCATCAAGCACTTGTAGGATTGGGCAATCTCTTTGAGGCTGTATTGGTAAATAGTCCTGTGGTCGTTGATTTGTTGATATCATTATGTCATGTAGCGATAAGTGGGCAAAATTTAAGTCCATTTCCAAGTAGAGCAATAGGTGTTACTACTACTACAAAATTTGATGTTCAGAATTCTTTAGTAGTGGATTGGGATAACAATATAGGTACTGTTGGTACACGTACCGACAAAGGTTACACTGTATACGGATGGAAAGGATTTGATGATCAAGTTTTGGTCAATGATATGTTGGAAGTATTTCATCCGGAAACAGGCCTACCTTTTACTGTAAACAGATGTAGTCATGCTACGTCTGTGCGTGTTTTGGAAGTTTCGGCAAATACCTTAATAATCGATTTTCCAATTACCGTTTCTACTTCAACTGTACCTAATCGTCATGTGTACTTACCATTTCGAGTTCATCGACGGAGCGAAAGAAATTTTTTAAATTCTGATAACACTCCAAATTATTCACTTATACTCACTATCATTGATAAATTACCTGCAGTTAACATGATGGTACAATATGCAAAGAAAAAGATCTTAAAAAGTGAACTCGACAAATTGGATCCATTGTGTTTTCCCCTCTTATCATGGATAATTTCTTCTAATAGAACTCATTTACGTTTATTGGAATCTGAGGAAGAAAAGGTTCAATTTAATCAAAATGATTCAAGTTATAATAATTGGAAACAGTTTGTTATGATTATGAGTTCGCCAGAGAAAGAAGAAACTTTTCAGCGAGAGAAAGAAAAACTAAGAAACGAAAGAAGAGGTCAAGGTAATCATCATCTTATTTAATTATTTAATTAGTTACATTGATATTATCATTTTAAAATAATTTCAACTACTAGCTTTAGGAGAATTGTTTGCTTTTCATGGTTCACCTCTACACAATTGGCATTCAATTATTCGGTAAATCTTTATAATATAAAAATTTTCAAGCATTCTATTGTATGTCAAATTATTATAAATCGCTTTATTTTTTAGAACTTCTTTAAATTGGAAGAAGGTCGTACATGGACGCGCCTTTGGTGATGGCGTATATCATTCTCTTCAAGCTCAGACGTCATCATCGTATGCAGGAGCTTCTTATTATCATCGCCAAGATACCGGCTATTGGAAAAATTCTATGTTAGTTGTGCAAAAGTGTATGGCGCTCAGTGAAATTGTTAACCGACCATTACAATTTATAAGGTAATTTAAAAATTATTATTATTATTGTTATTATTATAAATTAAATAATTTATTTTTCTTTTTTAGTACAAATCCTCATTTGGTTGTCCAGGATGAATCTTGGATTACAACACGTTATCTTTTTGTTGAGTGTTTAAGAGATCCAATGGATTCAACAAACGATGAAGATGATGATTGGACAAATAATCAAAATAACAACAATTATGTACCATCAATCCCATTATCATTAACAAATCCGTTAACGTCCTGGACTCGTCGTCCGAGAGAAAACTCGGATTATATAACGTTGGATCATACATACACTCCTTTATGGTTAAACAATCAACCTTTACAAATTCCCATACGAGATTTTTCTATTATTAATAATGATATACCCGATGAAAGTTCGATTGGAATTGGTCAGTTTAACTATGACCTTTTCGATTCACAAGATTTTATCAAGGGATCTGTTATATCGTCAAATAATCGATCGACAATATTTGATACTATTGACGAAGATACTATGGACGAAGATGAGGATACTGAAGATGATATGGACGCAATTGACAATGACGATGATGATTTTGAATATGATGATAATTTTGATGACGATGGATTTGAATTTCAAGAAAATGATGAAAAAAATAATGATGAAATAGATGACGACGACGATGGTATTATTAAAGATATTTATTACATACCTATTTAGTTATTACTAATATTTCTTTTACAATTTAATAGATGGCATAGATCTTACGCTACTACCTATCCCTGGTATGTAAAAATATAACTCTCCTTTTCCATTTATATTAAATAGGATTAACATTGTTTTAATATTCTTAGCCGAATCTTCTAAGGGAGCTACTCAGCGTATTTGCAAAGAACTAAGAACTATTATACACAAACAATCAGAACCATCTAATGATTTAGGATTCTTTATTGATACCAATAAATTACGATCAGTATATCAATGGGTTTGTAATATTTATTATATATATAATATTCTTTGATATCAAAATGTGATTTTAATTTTATAAAAATCAAAATCTATAGGTTGTTCAACTTACGAACTTTGATTCTAGTCTACCACTTGCACAAGACATGGCAAGAAACAGAGTAAATTCTATTGATTTGGAAGTTAGATTTGCACCTGATTATCCTTTTGTACCCCCGTAAGATCTTGTCTTTCTCGAATTTATATTTATACATACATACATACAATTTACTTTACATTACCTAAATATGATTTCATCGTATTTAGATACGTTCGTGTTATTCGCCCTAGGCTTTTGAGATTTATGGATGGAGGGGGTGGTCACGTGAGTATTTCCAAATAAATTAGTTTTACGAATTGTTTTTATTTCTAATCATGAATTTGAATAGGTTACTGCTGGAGGATCTATTTGCATGGATCTCTTAACCCTTGGTAATGAGCGTGAACGTGGATGGTCCTCTGTTTATACTATGGAAGCTGTATTATTACAGGTATTAGAATTATTAACGTTAGCTATTTGCATAAAGATGATGATTTAATAAATCAATTAAATATCTTTCAGATCAAGATAGCATTGAGTTCTTTGGATCCAAAACCAGCAAGGCTTGATCGTAATTGGAATTGTGAATATAGTCCTGGTGTGAGTGTATATATATTTATATAGTACGATTATTTTCAAAACAATATTTTTCTTATTTTGAATGTAAATTTATAGGAAGCCATTGATGCGTATATACGAGTCGCTAATCAGCATGGATGGGCTGTACCGCAAGGATGGAGCTCTCTGTTTGGTCGTTAAATGATAAACCAACAATTTTTTATGCAAAATTATTTAAACTTATGGTTAATTGATGATTGAACTCATTACGCCTCTTATCCTTATTTTATTACTTTATATGCTTTTGCATAATTATTGCATTTTTTTAAATAATTATAATCTTTTATTGCAAGCAAAAGTATTGTAGATAATATAACGTTTCCGTTATTGAAATTTGAAAATAAATAATGTAAAAATTTGAAATCTCGATGACGTTTATTCATTCATGTGATGAGTTGTGAGCGATGATGTAAAATTCGGGGGTTTTTTTTTATCGCAACACAGGTGCGACACTCACACCAATCCATCTATTGGTTATAGTAAAAGGCTCACATTCTTTGCCAAACATTTATTTATTTTAGTTTTCGTTTTCATTTTTTAATACTTTCGTCTATCGTATCCAAGCAATTTGCCTTACGATATTTATTTTAAATAATATCAAAGTTTATTCAATATGGTTGATTCTCAAACACGTGAAGATTACGTTTACCTCGCCAAGCTCGCTGAGCAGGCTGAGCGTTATGAAGGTGAGGATTGGGAAATCAGTTAAACATCCGGTATCATCTATGTTCACCTATTGAACGTGTTAATTCTTTAAGAATCATATTGGATTATGGTTATGTAATTCTTTCGGATTAAGGTTCATTTAAAATAAGCATTGAAAAGTATATTAACTTTGTTGAATATAAGTTAAGACTGTGGGTATAAGTTACTGGTCATCTGCTCGCGTGAAAATACTAGAATTCTCGTATAAAAACCATTTCATTATAGACCCAGAAGTGACGTTATAAAGTACACTCAAATCTCAGAATGATCAATTAATAATAATAATGTTAAATTCAAATCACATTATATAATAGAAATGGTCGAAAACATGAAACAAGTCGCCTCTGCTGATCAAGAACTAACTGTTGAAGAACGCAATCTCTTATCCGTTGCCTACAAAAACGTAATTGGAGCTCGAAGAGCCTCTTGGCGAATTGTTTCCTCAATTGAACAAAAAGAAGAATCTAAAGGGAATGAGACTCAGGTTGGCTTCATCAAAGAATATCGTTCAAAGATCGAAGAAGAATTGACCAAAATATGTGATGATATCTTGGAGGTACTGGACAATCACTTAATTCCTTCAGCTGCTACCGGTGAATCTAAAGTATTTTACCATAAAATGTTTGTAATAATTTACTTTAATTTCTTTCATTGTTACAAAATATATATTAATTATTGTTTATATATTTATATATTTTAGGAAAGGTGATTATCATAGATATCTTGCAGAATTTGCTACCGGTGATAGGAGAAGTCAATCTGCAGACAAATCTTTGGATGCGTATAAAGCTGCTAGTGAAGTCGCAGTCACTGAACTTGCTCCAACTCATCCGATTCGATTGGGGTTGGCCTTGAATTTTTCAGTTTTTTATTATGAAATTTTAAATTCTCCCGATAAAGCCTGTCATTTGGCCAAACAAGCATTTGATGATGCTATTGCCGAATTAGACACTCTTTCTGAAGAAAGCTATAAAGACTCAACATTAATTATGCAGCTATTGAGAGATAATTTGACACTTTGGACATCAGATATGCAGGACAGCAGTATGTTAAATTGCATATTATAATCCTAATGATTTCGATAAATATATTTTTTTAGGTTATATTTTATTAATAATATATTTTTTTATTATGCTTAGCTGAAAAGGCCGAAGCTCCGAAAGAAGAAGAGGCCACTGAACCTAAAGAAGAAGCTTAATATCCATTTTAGCATTTCAATATATAATTATATAAACAGTTCATCCCTTTTAGCGATTTTTTCGAGTGCTGTAAAGTTATAATGAAGTAATTTGAGTGCCAAATATATATGTGTGTGGGATGTCTGGTTAAATAACTTGATCATTATTTTATTTTATTTACATTTATTTCATTTCATTTTGTTCACTCAGATAAGGATAAATATAGAGCATTTGTAGAATCTGGGTTTGGCTTATTATTATCATTATCATTATTATTATTATTATTATTATTACTATTATTATTGTATTAGAGCAATATATACAATAAGGTGTCGTTTGGGTATGGTGGTTTAGTAGTTCTTTATTTGTTTTCTTTATTCGAACCTCAAACGATTATTAAATTAACAATGTATTCAATAAAATGATTTGGGTTCGTTGTTTATATATAAGCAATTAGAAATAGATATACTAAATTCGAAAACACTTTTGAATTAGGAACATATTCTATTTAATAATTTTATTATTTGAAGATTTCTATTTGTCTCTTTCAATTTCGGATTGATTAGTTAAAATAATTAGGGCAGAATATAGTTCTAATTAAATTTAAAAATTAAGAAAAAAAAATCATTTTTAAATTTTTAAACCAATTTAAAATTAATTAAAACTTTACAAATCCAACTATCTATATATAAGTAATGTTGAAAATATTACCAATAAAATCTCGGTCATAAAAATATTATATAATTTTTTTTTTATAATTAATTTTAATAAATATATATTATTATATAATTAATTAATTATAATTATATTATTTGTGATAAATATAATTTTTAATTATTAGTCTTGTTTTTAGATTTGAATAAATATTTATATAATATCCAAATAATATAGATTAATTTGAATAATAAAATGGAAGGTTTACTAGAAAATGGTCTTTTAAGAATTTTTTAACTCTTATTGTATTTTAATTTAATAAAATGCAATAAAAATCAGGATTCTATTTACTTAGCAAATCTCACATATATCAAATATAAAGAAAATAAAGTATCAAATAATAATATTTTTCTTAAAAAAAACTAATATAAAAAATTTGTAAATTTTTATTTTATTGATATATTTTAAAGTTTTATTAAAATATTATTTTATTTATTATATTTTATTTTAATAATTAAATATTTTATTAGAAAGATAATAATAATTTTTTATATATAAAATTGTATAGATTTATTGTAAAATTATATAAGTTTAATATAAATATTTAAGTTATAGGTATTTTATATATAAAACATATCATTAATTTTTTAAAATTATTCTATTTAATATTTTATTAAAAATTAATCAAAATCATCAAATTTAAACTATATATTTTATCAATATTAATATTGAAAATAAAAGAATTTTATTTAATTTATTTTATTAAAATAATTCTAATAAATATAATTTATTAACTTTGAATAAATAATTATAAATATTTATTTTATATTAAAGTACTGACATATATTAGCTAATATTTTAGGATGTGAGGGGTAGCAGAGAATCTTAGATTACACATAATTTATAAATTATGTGATAATCATAGCTTAGTATCTTTTTTAAAAAAAATTTATTAATACTATCATTATATTAAATATATATTATGCAAACTGATCTTATCAATCATTAATCATGATCTGATATGCATTTCTTCAAACACATTTTTTCAAAAGGTAGTATTTTTTCTTATTGTTATGATGAAAGAATAGAGAAATCATCAAGAATTGAGGAATTTTGGTCTTTACCTTTTCCTTTGGGCTGTTTACACTTAGTAGAATGTATTATTCACTTGTAGTTTATCAGAAAAGTAAGCGTTGAAAATATTTATTACATTCACAATAATAAAGACGCAAATATATTGTTTTATCAAGAGATAGGCAATAAAAATTGTAGCCAAAAATTTTCAAGAGATTATAATATTCAAGAAGGTATATTGGATTAGTAAAATGTCTGTCTTTGGCTTTAGTAATAGAAGGTAATAAGCCATTTTTTGATTGAAAAAATTCTATGGCTTCTTTTGCACAAAATGGATCACAACAGCTTATATTTATACATCATTTAATAGCAAATACTGGCATAGATTACAATGGTTTTCAATCCATAACCATAATACAAAGCAATCAGCTAAGTCATTTTCATTTTCTTTTTGTTGTTTCTTTTTTTGTTTTTCTTGTCTTTTTCATTCTTCTATCTTTTCTTTTTCTGTACCCTCAAATTGTAGGTTTTTAAATAGATTGATAGATTCTTCAACATACTGAGTATCTACGCTTTTTCTAAAAATCAAATCACAACGTCAAATATTACAAAAAACTTCTCTGGCGTATTGATAATTTTGAAAAACTAACTTTGGATCAATCACATTACCTTGCGTATTTAAATGCTTTTCAACATGATCAATCAGTAATATGATACCTGCTAGCTTGCCGAATAGCGTCACCATACTTCTTTCGACCAGATTATATTTAGATTTTTCTGGAGAGTATATCCATATAGTCAAGTAATCCAAATTAAATTTTCGAAAAAAATGGCAATATGTCTTGATATTTTTTGAATGTTTCAGATTCTTATTTGGTTCTCTGTTTACTAATAAAACCCGAATTGGTCAAATTTTTTTACTGATCTTCAACACATCATCATATTAGGTATTTAAAGAGAGATTTCAAGATCTTACATATATGTAAGAGAGGATATACCAAGGGACTATTGACGTCATACAAAAATGGCAAATTGGCCTGTTTGTAATTCATCATTTGAATTATTTAGTTTGATTATAAGATAAAATGATGAAACTAACTTTTGTCTATATCCTACAGAAAAATCGTGATCAGCCACACAAACAGGCTTATCATGACAACTGACATATCAGCAAAAACAGTTGTAAATTGCCTCATACATTTAACAGATACAAGGCAATAATAACTATCAGCAAGATTGTGTATCTCTATTTGTAAAACTCCAGTTACTGCAATCCATGCTGGATGATGATAAGCTTTTACAGCAATAGAATTGGATTAGCGTGACAACAGATAATTATTTAATATTATCTGCGTTATATAGATATTATATTTATCCTCAAGGTTTTATGCAAATTTTTGATGACCTGAACTTTCACTACTTCTCTTTATTATTTCTCATCAGCTGAACTAAACTCGACCAAATCATGAATATGGTTTTGTGATTCTAGATGTTAAAAAAAAAGGGATGGATGATTAGATTTATCATATCATATAACCTTCTGATTTTTAACAAGTATTTTTTGTTTTTTTTCTTTACAATTTTGAACATATTTTGCATTCCTTTTTAATCTGATAATCCTGTCCCAATTTGATTTAATTTGAGCTCAAAGGTTTAATATTTTCTCATATATATCATGGTATAGTTAAAAATCAGTTATGATATTGTATATTTGCTCAGATTCAATAAGTTTTTTTGTCATCTTTTGTTGAGCTGTTACATTAATAGAGATTTCTAGTATAGGTTTTACTGAACAAATAGTAAGAAGGGAAGGAGTTGGTTCTTCTCTAAGCATAGGGGGATCATTGTTTGTATGTCATATAGATTAAATAGAGTAGTCAAGTATTTTCTGATTATATCATCAATTTCTGCTACACCTTTGCTTTTAATCTTATTCCATTCTTGTGATGCTTTACGATAAACATCAGTACAATTTAGGATATCATTTCCTGTCTTTAGCATAAGATTATATACATAAGCATTGAAAAATTCCTGATATTTATTTGTTGGCAAGTTATATATTAACTTTCTATTAAACTTAGAATTAAATAAAAAGCTTTGTCAACTCATAATTAATTTTTGAAATAAAAGATTAATATTTTTTGTATAAAAAGTTTTTTGTAGACACAAAATAAAAAGCTGAATACAATGTGTAAAAGTTCTGCAGTAAGTCAATTTTAAAGAAAATATATAAAATAGGGGTTTGATTCAAATTATAGTATTATTAAGTAGATCTTAGAACTAATTGGCTTCGATTTGAATTTAATTAAGCTAATTTAAGTAAAAATTGTAAAATAAAGTCTCCAATAGCATCCTGTAACATCTTGTAGTATATGGTTAATCAAAGCTTTTTTTATATATTTAAAGAAACTAATACTTCAAATTTTATAAAAATAAGTTGCTTGAATATTTTTAATATTTTATTTGAAATAAAAAAAAATTAAATTTAAAAAATTTTACAAATTAAAATTTTTTTTTATCATTTATATTTCTTGATTTACTTTTAACTTATGAATCTAAAAATGTATATGATCAGTAACACATGATCATTTTACCTGGGAGGTGAAGGGGTAAGCATTTATATTAAAATTATATTAGCTAATATATGTCAATGTTCTTACGTAGATTATAGTGATACCTGACTAAACTCTTTTTTGAAAATTATAATTTCATCAAAAGTTTTATCTCATTAACATTTTTATATGAATAAATATAAAATTATTATATTTTTTAATGTATTTTAATTCAAGGAATTTAGATCAAGTTAAATATAATTTCCTTAATTAAGTAAAATAATTTTGCCATTAATAAAAAACTAGTTTTGTCATTTTGGTTTCATCAATTTCATCATATTAAGAAAGATAATTTCATCAGATATCACTAGTAGATAATAATTAATTTTAGGAAACATAATTAATTATAGGTAGTAATTAATATTTATAGACATAATTATTTACAGGAAGGTAATTAATTATGGGTGATTTATTAATTATAAGGAATATAATTTTTTTAATATATAAGTGTATAAAAAGAATTCTGTAGCATTGTTAATGTTATTTTTAGCTTTAATTTAAGTCCTAATTCACTTTATGTAACTTTTATGTATAAAGACAAATAATTTCCTTTATAGTATTCGTCATGTAACGTGTGATTAATATTGAGATATACATTAAATTCAATTTATTTAAAAATTGGAATAATAAAAAACTCTCTCACCTATTTTCCAAAATCAAAATTTTCATATGAAAAATAAAAAATTTAAAAGTTCATTTTTAACAAAAAAATAAATAATAAACCCAGTATAAAGAAGGTTTCTTTTGTTTTACCCTACCTTCTTACTTACGTAAGAGAGTTATGACGCGTAAAAACGTTGTGAAACAAAAAAATAGTGACCCCAAGTTTGTTTCATACGTCACTCCAAAAGCTCCAAAGGAAGCTGTTAGTCCTACACCAACTCCTTCGTCTTCTTCAACCTCAACTTCTGTCCCCACCAACTTAGATTTAGAAATTGTTCAAGAAGTTTTTGGTTCATTACTAGAAAAAACAATGGAGTTTGAATTTTTTGACGTTTCTAAAATTACTACTCCTAACAAAATTTCACCAGTTATTCTGCCCTCGAATAACAACAATAATAAAAACAACAAAGTTGACAATATTCCTGAAAACTCTTCTTCAACCAAAGATAGGTCAAAACTTTTGGACTCTGACAAATATCTTGAAGACGATGATATGGAAGAAGACCTAAAAGATTTCATAGTTGTTACCAAAGCTACCCCCTTTGCAGTTGCTAGTCATATCAAGTTTACATCTAAAGAAAAGAACAACAGCAAAATTACTCTCGCTATCAATAATGTTTTTACTCAAAATGACGATTTTTGAGAAGTTTCAGTTCGTCGCGTCAATTTGACGCATTCTGTAATTGTCTATTTTGCAACATCAGATGTGGCTGCTGCAGCCTTACATGTGATTATTCCTGATATAAACCTGCTGGCTTTAGAAAATTTGTAGATTCTAATCGATCTAACCGTTCCAAATCTTATTCTGGGGCTATCAAAAATAAGAACACTTCTCCATCTCCATTACTAAAAGATGTTATCAAACCAACTGTGAAGGATTCTGCTCACAATCCGAATAATGAAATTAATAATAAATTTGATCAGATTCTCTCAATTCTTTTCAATTTGAAAAAGAATATGAATGACCTGGATGCTAGAATCGCCAAATTGGAATCTTTTCAGGCTTCTTCTCCAATTACGTTTATAGTAATTCCTTTAACTATTATTAGTAAAGGAAAAGATCCATTAATAGTTTCACACGTTTTTCAACTTTCATCTAAATCACAAGATATATCTAATAAAAGATCTCGCATTGCTGGATCTTCAAGTGATGACTCTTCACCCTCACCAATTTTGACCCCAAAATCTAACCTTACTAATATGATGAATAAACAAGCTGCTATTATTGCTGAACAAAAAAGACAGATAGACAAAATGTTTAAACAAATTGAACAATTCGCTAGCCAGTCTCAAAATTAGATACACCTATTAATCACATTCTTTAAATGATTAATACAACAAATAATATTCTGTTACCTAATATTTTCCCTACAAATTTAATTAACAATAATAATAATTTTCTTTCTAATAATAATAATGCTCCCCTTCCTCATAATTTACTTTCATCACATGATCAACTTACCTTTATTATAGACAATGACTTAGAAAAGTCACATAATGATGATAGAGATTTAATTTTAAACAGAAACACCCTCACCTTTGCTACTCATAATGTACATTCTCTTTGTGATGATGTTAAAAATAATAAGATTCTAGATACTTTTCACCAAAAGAATGTTAACTTTGTTGTTTTATCGAAAACTTGGCATCAATCTTCACAATCTTTTAGATATTCTTCTGATCCCTTTTTTGATACTTTGTGGAGTTCTGTCTCTAATAAGTTCTCAGATGTTGGTCTACTTATCAGCAAAGCATATTGCTAAAAAATTCTTGAATAATGATTGTTATATTTATGTTAATTTCTATTTAAAAGGAAATATAAAACTAAGAGTTTTCTCAGTTTATATTCATACTACTGAATCTAAAGAAAGAAAAGTCCTACAAATAACATTACTATGACTTATTGACAATAGCCTATAGTCTGGTTTTCATATTATCATTATGGGAGACTTCAATGCAGATCTATTCAAATTACAATGCCTCATTGATTCTGGTAAAACCATTCCTTAGAAGTATAATCTTGTACATGGTCTTGTACTTAGAAACTTTTTGGACTTATATGACATTTGTTATGATACACCCTTACCTACATTCAAAAGATCGAATACTTCCAGTCATATTGATGCAATCTTTGCTTCTCAGAATCTTGTAACTGACTTTCTTTATTGTAATATAGTTCATTCGTATTTATACAAATCTGATCACAAGATTGTTATTGCCTATTCTTCCAACATTCAACATGAATCTAATCTCATTCAAGAAGTAATAATACCAAAAGAAAAGTTCCTCTTCTCAAATCCATAGACTTCTCAAAATAGACAAGCTTTGCTGAATATTCTAATACCTATTACAACAACCACAATTTTGATCGCTTAAAAGATCTCCTATCTAATCATGCAAACATGAATAATCTTTGAATGGAATTGAAAAAAGCTGTTTTGGATATTAGTAAGTTAAAAATTCCTTACAAATGGATATCTATACAAGACTGTGCACTAAAATCAAAAGATCTTTCTCATTACTATCCATCACTCACTAAGATCGAAAAGATTCTTCTAAAATTTTGGTCCAAAAGGCTAAGAAAATGGCTTTGGCTGATTGGTGAAGAATGGAAACATAATCTAAATATTGTTGCAAATATTGTCAAAGACATTTCATATCCTTTAGATCCCTTGCCTCAATCTTTAAATTTATCAAATGTTAGAGATCTTAAAAAATCTCTCAACTGCATCTATAAAGTCTTATATAGGCTCATTAAAACACTGATGCACAAATAAAATCATTTATTGAAAAAAGGTGCGATCAACTTGAGTCTCAACCTGGTAAAATGATAGACTCTATTTTACAAAGAAAAAAGAGGAAAATTACTTTGGATCGAGTCTTTGTCAACAAAAATGATGGCTCTAAATACTTTACTCTAGATCCTGATAAAATTAAAAAAGTTGCAATCAATCACTTCCAAAATAATGCATTACCATTGACACCCCCGAGATCCTTAAATGGAAGATGTTCTCACAATATCAGCCAAAAGATTACGTATCCGAGAACATTTATGACAATCTTATGCAACCTCTAACATATAATGAATGATGCTCAGTTCTTTCACACTTAGCAAAAGACAAAGCTGCTGGACCTTCAGGTATCCATAACGAAATGTTTCAACATTTAGAAGATAAATTCAAGCACTTAGTTTGCAACTTATTTGCATGTGTTTTACCATTAGTGACACTCCCAGTAAATGGAAAATTGCACACATATATCCAATTTCTAAACCAATGGAATGGGAATGTAACATTACAAAGACATGTTCAATCACCTTATTAGAAACTTTAAGAAAAGCATTTGTCAAAGTTGTTACTAATCGACTCTTAAAAATTCTCGCTAATCATCATATCCTGAAAGATAACAACTTTGCTGGTTTACCTGGAGGCTCTACTGAAAAACTAATCAAAATTTTAAACATATTGTTAGAAGATGCTAATGAAAACAAAAAAGAGCTTTGGATTTTATTGCAAGACCTTTTCAAGGCATATGATTATGTTGATCTTAAATTTCTTCATCTCGCCTTACAACGTATCAAAATTCCCACTAAGTGTATAGATCTATTCATCAACCTCTTCACTAATAGAAAAAATGCAATTTTTGCAACTGATGGTCTTACTGATTACTATGATATCAAAATTGGTATTGATCAAGGAGAAGTGACTTTTCCTTTACTATGGTGCATTTATCTAGATCCTCTGTTATGTGAAGTAGATGCTTTAAACAAAGGATATGAAATATCTCATACATAGACCAACAACATAATCAGCAATACTACTACAACTCTTTCTGAATCTGTATCATCCTTGGCCTTTATGGATGATACTAACTGGATTGCTAACTCTTAACAAAATTTAGAAGATATTCTTGTAATAGTCGATGATTTTTATGATTTAACTAGGGCTGCCTTGAACAAATTTAAATCAAAGCTTATTACAACAAAGTCTTTTGCATCTCCAACTATCAACATCAATTTTGGTTCCTCCACTATCAATCACTCCTGAGTTAAATTCTGTAAGATTTCTAGGAATTTGGATTAATCGTTTGAACTCTCAAACTTTTGTTAAAAATCAAGCTCAAAAAAACATCAATAATTTTGCTGCTATTATGAAACCTAAGCCTCTCACAGATAAACAAATTGCATACATTGTTAATGCAGTCTTTTGCCTACTCCTAGAATACAAATTGCAATGTACATCTCTATCTGAACATGAATGTAATATTTACTTTAGCGCTATTAGAACTCTTTTTAAAAGAAAGTCTGATTTTACTATTACAATTCCAACTGCCATTTTAAATCGCAACAATATTATAACCTTCATGATCTTTGGTCCCTTCAAATTAAATCCTTTACAACTGCTCTTCTCAACCAATTCAATTCGACAGATCTTTATTTTAATGTATCTACAATTCATATCTTCCAACTTCAATCACTTAACCTTCTTCTTTCGTCTCTACTTCATTTATAGAAACATCCTTATAACCGTTCTTCTCACAAAAATCTAATTGGTGCTCAATTTAGCATCATTAGTACTGTTACCTCTGGTTTTAAATCTAGGAGGATCACATTTATTTTACCAATTGGATTCTTATGCTATCTTCAAACAAAATTTTAATATTATTAAAAGATTACAACTATATTATTTGGATCAATTTATCTAACTGGATGGTTGCCATCTTCTCAACTGGAAAGATATTAGATTTCATCTTCCTGTTTCATTATCAAAATCTGCTAGAATATATTCTTCTTTTTTCGATAACCTAATTTTTAATTTAGTCATTCTTAACCTTTAGATAGATCTCTTAAACTAGAATATAGATTAGATGATAACTCTTTCTTTGTATCACTTTATGATTTAGATATCAATCCTTCTGATATTAAAAGATAATATGTCACCTTTTGGAATCCGCTCACCAATACCAATATTTATGGGCAAATTACTAGAAAACACCCACATATTGAGACAGCTGATATACACCACTTCAATTTAATCACTAATGATATAGGACTAGAAAGTCTTGTTAAATGCCCTGGTTGCTCCTTGAATGATAAAAAGAAATGTGTATCTAAAGTTCCATTTCAATATATCGTTAAAATAGATATCATATGCAAAAAACAACATCAGAAAGTTATGTTAAAAAACTCTCCTTGTTTATCTTCATTTGAACTCACTTTTTGTGCAAAATTTAAAGCTTCCTTGATCATTCCCACACCTCATCAGGATAGATTTACACCATCACTAATATCCCAACTTATCAACGAAACACAATATATTGATCATCTTTCAGAAATAGCATTTTCACTCTCTTCTGCTCTTTCTCTATCGTT